TTTTTTTGTCAATTTTTTTTAAAGGAAAATTTTCAAAATTTTGTATAGTAAATCGATTTTTCGTTAGCGTATACACAAAATATAAATCTATATATGCAAAATCTATATCTATATATTTAAATTTAATACATAAAAAATTGTCACACATATAATAGGAAAGTTATCCAACTAAAAGTTGTTCAGCTTGAAAATATATATAAAAAGTTCACACACATCCAATTAGAAATTATTTGACTTGAAAAAATTAGCGTGAAGTAATGTATAACCACTAATATTTTTATATTTTATATCTACTATATATAATATCTCTCATAAAAATAGCGTGATGTAATGTTTAATGTTTCGTATTATTCATACATATTTTTTAGACTTTAATACATATTATTCACATGTAGTATTTTGTATATTTTAAACATGTTGTGTATATATATGTATTGGTGTTGAATTTTTTTAAGACATGTTTTACTTATAAAACAATTTAGAAAGGTGACCTCACATTTTGTGGAATAATATAGAATATTTTAGATAATCTTACACATGTTGTATAACAATTTAGTGTTTTTAATATGGGTAAAGTCCACTTTTGGTCCTCCATGTTTAGGGGGTATCCAGACTGAGTCCCTATTATGTTTTGGTGTCCAATTTTAGTCCTTAAAACAAAAAAATATAGTCCCTGCTATGTTTTGGTGCCCAATTTTAGTTCTTAAAACAAAAAATATAGTCCCTGCTATGTTTTGGTGCCCAATTTTAGTCCTTAAAACAAAAAATGTAGTCCCTATTATGTTTTCGTGCCTAATTTTAGTCCTTAAAACAAAAATATATAGTCCCTATTATGTTTGGGTGCTCAATTTTAGTCCTAAAAATAAAAAAAAAAATGTAGTTCATATTATGTTTTGGTGCCCAATTTTAGTTCTAAAAACCAAAAAATGTAGTCCCTTAACCTCAATTTCTATGAATTAACGGTCCATTTTTGTTAATAACATCAAAGTAGTTGTGTAAAATAATTTAAACATCGAAAAGATGAAATCAAATTTCAAAGGAACAAATTATTGACCTGATCATAAAAATCATGATACATTCATTGCATAATTATTAAATATTAAATATTAAATAATAAAATTATATATTTAGGACTAAAATTGAGCACCCAAACATAATAGGGACTATATTTTTTTGTTTTAAGGACTAAAGTTGGGCACGAAAACATAATAGGGACTATATTTTTTTGTTTTAAGGACTAAAATTGGGCACGAAAATATAATAGGGACTACATTTTTTATTTTAAGGATTAAAATTGGGCACCAAAACATAGCAGGGACTACATTTTTTGTTTTAAGGACTAAAATTGGGCACCAAAACATAATAGAGACTACATTTTTTTGTTTTAAGGACTAAAATTGGACACCAAAACATAATAGAGACTCAGTCTGGATACCCCCTAAACATGGAGGACCAAAAGTGGACTTTTCCCTTTTAATATTTTACACATACATGTTTAAGGTTCTTTCAAACAACATAAAAAACTATAAAAATTTTAGTGAATATTATTTAGCTAATCAACTATAATCGATATTAAAATGATAAACTAACAACTCATTTGTCCAACTGCCGTAAAAATTATCATATTATAAATAGATCCATTTTAGACTTCTCTTTAAGTTCCAACGGCACCAGTTGTTTCTGATTTTGGGGTTCTATTTAATAGTCAAGGTCGGTCTTTTTATATAAAAAATATAGAAATATTAGTGAATATTATTTAACTAATAAAGTATAATCGATGTTAAAATGATATGCTTGGATGTAATTTTTTTGGATTTGTTTGTATTTTTTGGTTTGGTTTGGTTAATTTTGAAAAGGTAGTGTGGTTAGTTGATAGTTGGTATATTGAAATAATATGTAAAATAAAATAATTAAAGCTGATTTGGTTTAAAAGTATGAGAGAGATGATTTGAAGTGATTGTTAGTTAAAATTATGCGAGTGGATGAATAATGAATTAAAGTTGATGTGTTATATATGAATGATTGATTGATATTATTTAGCTATATTGATAATATCTATATCTATATATATATAAAAAGATTTACCATTTTATAAATTTAACAAGTTTTTCCCGCCAAATCATTAATTATATCCTATATATAGTAATTTTTGGGTAATTTTGAATAAGTCAAAAAAAAAGCAGCTCTTTAATTGTTGGTTCCGTAATTATAGTTTCAAAATCGGTTGCAACTTGGTTTCCTTAATTATAGCTCTTTAATTGTTGTTGCAAAATTTATGCCAAAGAGTTTAAAATAGGAATTCTTATTGACTTACTGTTCAAAATGCAACAATATCGTCCAACCGGATACATTATAATGCAACATTTCTATCTTACAAAAAATCTGAAAAATAATACAGTCAACTATTTTAAAAAATCTCATCTCTTAGGTATCTACTCTAACATATTTGTTTAACAAAATTATGAAACATAATTTTTTTTAACGAGAATAAGATTTATCACATATTTCTCCTCTAAAAATATTAAATGCACATAATAAAAAGTTAATAGAAAAAATGCAGATTTAAATATTGTCTTCAATTTTTGTGTTAATATCACTTATATATAAAATCCCATTTTATTTGTTACATTTTAAATTAATCTTGATCTGTATTTGTAAAATTAATAAATATGCATAAAGCGTGGAATTTTTATGCGTACAATTTTTTTTTAACGGTAACAACTTATAAAAAAATAATAAGAGATACCGTCATAATTCTCAGTATAGTTTCATTATTTATTTTATATATAAGTGATAAATTTTCTCTCAAAAATTTATAATGTTTTTATTTAGACTTATGATATTGTAGATACTTTTATATAATATTTTATTATGTCGGATTTAATCTATATATACATATACACGTATATATATATACATATTAAATTTAAATATTTTTAAACATGTTTTTTTTACAACAGAGTTTAGAAAACATATTTTATAAAATATTTAAATGTTTTTTTTCCAAAATTGTTTAAAAAAATTGTAGGTGACTTCATATCTTTTAATAATAATACATAAACTTTTACATACTTTTACATATTTTTAGTATTTTAACCTGCAAACTCTATGTTCTCTTATACAAGTTAATTTTATATTGTTGATAATAAACTGATATACGACGGTCAATTATATCATATGTTAACCCCACCACTCGAACTCGAGACCTATTTATAATTATTAAACTGATATACGACGGTAAATTATATCACGTGTTAACCCCACATCTTTAATTTATATTTGTTTTTTGCTCTTTTAAAATATGATAATGGTTCCCACCACCCGAACTCGAGACTTATTTATAGTTATTATTTAATATAATTACTCGTGCATCGCACGGGGCTACACACTAATCTATAAAAAAAAGGTTTGAGTGTTTTTTAAATAGTAACTATTTCCCGCCAAAAAATATTGTTTACTAAATTTGGAAATTATTTAAACATTTTATGGTATGTCTTAAAGGTACAATTTAGGTAATTCTGATTGATTTATTATGGTAATATTAATCACATATATAAGTCTCTAATATCTCATGATAAACATTTCTAAAACACTAACTTTGAGAATGAAATGTGTCATTTGATGTGCGTAATCATATATTTAAAGAAAACTAATAAATATCCACAATTAAAAAAAAATAAACTTTTAAACTATTTAACTTATGTAATTCGAATCATTTATTCTATAGGGAGGAGGGGAGCATTACATAATAATATATATTTTAAATTTATTATTATTATATTTAGTAAGAATTTTTAATTTATAAGTATTAATGAATATTTCTTACCCGGTCATCGCACTTCGTACAAGTTCACATGATAGAGCACATGAATAAAAATGAATAAGGATTTGTAATTATTAACTTCTAAAATGAAACCCAAAGATTAACAATTACTACATTTTTTTGTTTTAAATCCGAGGCCGACGTCACTATTTCGCCCGCCCAGGCCGACGTCACTATTTCGCCAGGCCAGGCCGTCGTCACTATTTCGCCTGCCCAGGCCGACGTCACTATTTCGCCCGGCCAG